CCCCTGACCCCTGACCCCTGACCTCTGACCCCTGCAGGTGTGTAACAGTAACCGTAACTGCCACTGCGCGGCCGGCTGGGCGCCGCCCGACTGCCAGCTGACCGGGTACGGGGGCAGCGTGGACAGCGGCCCCACCTGGAACGGTAGGTCCCCATGACAACGGCCGCCATGACAACGGCCGCCATGACAACGGCCGCCATGCCAACGGGTGCCAGGCTGAAATGTGCTCATATATTATATACTGTGTAGTAGACTGTATATCATCTGTTAGATGTACTTCTTGAAGATATTTTATACATATATATATGTATATATACACAGAAGAACAAGAAAACAAATGACTTCTAGAAGAGAGATGGAAAAAGAAATAAATGATAAAGAAATAATCAGTAAAAAGGGTTTTTATTGGCAGGTAGAGACTGAGATACAGGACCAACCCTAAGTCACTCTGACTTTATACCTGGCCTTTAAACTAACTTAGCTTATTTGATTTTATTTAGTTTTTATTTTTGATATATTTTTTCTATTTTTCTGTTTTTTTTTACTTGCATAATTACGTGAACTTTAAACTTAGTTAGCTCATTTATCTTTATTTTATTTCTTTTTTTCAATTTTTCTGATTTTTCTTTCTAACTTCAACTATACCTGAACTTTAAGCTAACTTAGCTTATTTATTTTAATTTTATTTTGATACTTTATATATTTTTCTATGACTCTGTCTTTACTTTAGGTGTCGAATTTTTGATCAAATTTAACTTCAGCTGTTAGGAAAATCACAAGTAGAGGATCTCATGTATATATATATACATATATATATATATTTAGCTGAATATTTTTTATTAGATGTGTGTGTGTGTGTGTATATATATATATACACACACACACATTATAATTATTCATATATATTCATGTTTATTATTCTTATATTTATAGGTTTATAAATGTGTAATCATTATATAATACGGATATTCAATATATTCTATGTGTATATTCTTGTTATAGACTGATATACTATTATTATATTCTGTTACCCCCCCCCCAGATAAGGACACCTCCCTGAGGGACGGGCTGCTGGTCTTCTTCTTCCTGGTCATCCCTCTGCTGACCGCTGCTGTCCTGCTCTTCCTGCGCCGGGACCAGCTGCGCCGCCGCCTGACCCGCCGCCGCAAGCGCTCCCAGGGCTACCAGTGAGTCCCCCCCCCC